GTGGTGTACGGCGTTGCTGGATCATGCAAAGTGCTGAGGAAGTCATTCTTGATCTCAAGCAGAATGTACACACACACACACAATGTACACACACACACACACACACACACACACACACACACACACACACACACACACACACACACACGTGGTGTACGGCGTTGCTGGATCATGCAAAGTGCTGAGGAAGTCATTCTGGATCTCAAGCAGAATGCACAATCCCTTCGAGGCTGTACACCACAGACAGGGGACTTTACCACTATGTACACAAACTGCCACACAATAAGATTCTTAACAATGTTCTGAATGCTGTTCGTGAAGCACATGATTATGCTTTGGGGCGGAATTCACAGGGCAGAAGGCCAGTACAGATGCACATGACCGTGGGAGGTCCTCATCGTGGGGAGTGGGTCAGACACCCTCTCGGTGCCGGACCAGAAATTGCCAACCTCACGCTCTATTGGGACGAAGCAGAGTTCATCGATGATCTTCAGCAGCGAGATCTGTGTGCTGTGCAAGCATATGCATTCACATACCGATTCGTTGATGCCATTCTATCCTGGAACACATCACCACCGTCTCCTGCTCAGTATGGTCTTGAGTGGAAAGATACTACTACTGAGCAAGATGGGTCATGTCTTTTCCTTGGGGCAAGAACCCTGGTTGGGGCTTGATGGCTAACTTCGGATCGGCGTATTTGACAAGTCCGAGGCCTGGACGTTCCCTGTCATACGTTATCCCAGTGCTTACTCCAATGCCCCGGCTCATCAGCCTGCAGGTGTGCTCACGGGACAACTAACGAGATTCGAACATATATGTAACATTACCACCGACTTCAAAGCGGCAGTGACTTCCCTGACACAACATATCCTTGTCAGGGGCCATCCTCCCAGTGTCCTGGCTAGAGGCTGGACTGCATATGTGCGTGGCCGGCAGCGCCGGCTACCAAATCATGTCACACGGCTTTGGAACTGGTTTCGCTGCATGGGTTAGAGATCTGCTCCAACGACATGCTCACAACAGTACGGAAAGACATCGTCGCTTTCCGTACAGCCTAGCAAGGAATAGTGCACATCGAGTCCGATGCCCGCAATGTGGCAGTGATTTCTTCAGTGCTGCAGGCTTGAGAGTGCACCGGACACGAGGTGCAGCTACATGTGCAGTGTTTGCACGGCTAGCAGCCGCCTTGAGCACAAGTGCGGCTAATCCGCTTCCGATTCCCACATCTGGTCCACCCAGTTCTCACCCACCTGACCCGCCCCTCTTTCATCCACCTAACCCCGCTTGCTCCCCTGCTCCAAATGACAATGACCCATCTCTTGATTACCTGATGGAGCCCCCGGATGAAGATCATGTCTCTCCGGAGCCATACCGGAGCCAATTGGTCAAGACCACAACGAGCCTCCACCACCGGTGCAACCAGCAGAATCGAACGAGTCTCCCCCTGCCATGAACGTATCCCCAACGCAACCTGCGGAATCAGACAATAGCATAGTGCTACAGCGAGGGCGCTGTGCGTACTATGCCATTAAGGTATGTCACCTTGCTCACAATTGTAATCCTTATACTGTTTCTGATTTCACAGATGTCGTTCGCTGGATAGAAGAAGAGCACCGTGCTGTCTGCCCAGAGGACAACAGCGCTGCACCTGGTGTGAAAATAGAAGTTCTGGCTATGGCATTTATGGGTAGGCCACTGCAATTCCAGCCTTCTCCGCAAAACCAGGTGCCAGGCAGGGATCCAAATATTCGGGCATATATCTTATATCGTCCAGGTTATTTCAGTGCCCTTAACTTTGCAGATAATTCATGGACCCTATGGGACAGTGGCGGTAGGGTGCACACAGTGGGAAATATTAACTCTTTCCACCAAATGCTGGATGATCATTCGGTCTGGCTCGTCCATCAGGAACAGTATGTCGATGAGCACTTGCAAGCACTGCACCCCCCAGAGAGCAATCCTGCTGATTCTACCACAAACAGTGAAAGGATGGTGGCTGTGCCCTCCCGTTGTGTCGTTGCACAGGTGCAGTTCGATTGACATGTACACGGCATAGCCTCTGCTCCGAACACTATGAAGGGATGGTCACTGCTAGCCTCTCACACGAAAACTGGGATCCCCTGTCCTGTGCTCATCCCCTTCACCCCCTGATTACTTGCCCATCATGCCGTTGTGGCCGTGATCTGCCATTCTTAAATAACTGTCCATACTAATGACATGTCAGCAACATGTCATGTGTCGTCAATGCTTCCAGGAAGCTTTCATAGAAAGTATGTGTCTTTACTGCGTGGACTACCCCCGGTGCCATCACCCTCCACATCCCCTCCTAGCATGTCCCACATGTGGTGTTGGTCATACACCTGTGACAACCGCTGATGGATCTTCCTCTTTCTTGCCAGACGAACGACTGACACAGCAATCGGAGGAGGAAAATAGACTTCTATATGAACCACCGGCAGAGCGATGTGCTCGTAGTTTATCACCACCAGGGCAAGTTGTCGCGGACCAAATCCTGCAGCAGCTGAACGCCCTTGCTTTCGACCGATCATCCCTGTCGCCTTCTGCCCATAGAGAAGGGATAAAAAATACTGAAGAAGCCCAAGAAAGATGCTCCATGGCGTTTTGTGATGACCCGCCGGAGACTCAACTAGCATGTGGTTGGCATGCCTTGTGCCGTGAGGATTATGAAGGGATAGTCCGTGCGAGTTTTTGCTTCCATATGTACGGCGACAGTCAGTGCCGTACTCATGTATGGCACCCTGACATGTCATGTCCAATTTGTAGACGGGGGCTGGAACGGCAATGCCTCTATAATTGCGGTCGACGTGCCTCTGTGTTCCCAGCATGTACGAGCCACTTAGCCTGTGACATCTGTCTGCACCGCGCCATTCGATGCAGCAACTGTGACTGCAAAAATTGGATGCGGTGCTTTCCATAGTCCACACCCGAACCAGCCCTGTCCGGTTTTGTAGGGGTGGACGCTTGCCATAGTTTAACTGCTCCTCAGCCCAACATGTTCCCCTTCAGTCCCTTTGTGCTACTAACAAATACATATGAATGAGCATCGTTAAGAGAACAGACGGTATGAAGATCAGAAATGAAATGAATGGAAGTATGAAGATGAAGGATGGACACAAAGACTAAGTATAAGCTGAAGATCTGAAGTGAAATGAACAGGAGTATGAAGGTCTGAAGAGAAATACACAGGAGCATACCTTCCCTTTTACTCTGCCTCCTGAAATAATGTGCAAGTGGGCCGTGAAGGCACACGGGGATGTGGGCAGCTGATGCTTAACCACAATCTACGTGGGCAGCCTTGTACGTAATAGGCACAGTAAAAGGGAAGCTGCAAGAACAAATGGAAGGGGTAGCCCAAGGACAACCAAAAGACTGTCTAATTATAAAATTGCTTTAATATGTTGGACTGTCTCATCTCCAATGCTCTCGTTGTCTGCAATAGGACAAAGGCTACAGACACACACACACACACACACACACGATCAACGTGGGCAGCCTTGTGTGTAAGAGGCACAGGAAAAGGGGAGCTGCAAGAACAATGAAAGGGGTACCCCAAGGACAACCAAAAAACTCTCTAATTATAAAATTGCTTCAATATGTTGGACATCTCAAATCCTCTCGCTGTCTGCAATAGGACAAAGACTGCTTTGATTCTGAATCTATTCACCTGGGTGGAATTGGGGCTGTTGTGGGGAAAATCTAA